AAAAAAAAAAAAAAAAAAAAGAGAGGAGATTCCAGACGACCCCTAGCTCCCTAAATCCCAAAGAATTGGGAACAAAGAAGTCTCTTCTCTATTTTTTTTTCTTATTTTTATTTATTTAGTTTTCTTTGTTGTTGTTGTTTTGAGATGAATCTCACTCTCTCTCCCAGGCTGGAGTGGCACCATCTCTGCTCAATGCAACCCCACCTCCCAGGTTCAAGCAATTCTCCAGCCTCAGTCTCTGGAATAGCTGGGATTATAGGCACATACCACCATGCCCAGCTAATTTTTGTATTTTTAGTAGAGACGGGTTTTACCATGTTGGCCAGGCTGGTCTTGAACTCCTGACCTCAAGTGATCTGCCCATCTTGACCTCCCAGAGTGCTGGAATCACAGGTGTGAGCCACCACGCCCAGCCTGTTTCTTATTTTTAGAGAAGTCCCTTCTCTGATGCAGCTTCTCCAATGGCTGAAACCAAAGGCAACAGGGAACTGTTTATACCTGCCCAGAGGTTTCTAGCAGTTACTCAAAATGGGGGGCCAGGGAGTGCAATCCCAGGGGCTGAAAGATCCCAACCTTACCCTTGGTTCCACCCTGTGCTGGGAACCATAAAGGAAACTTTAGGGCCAGGTGCAGTGGCTCACGCTTATAATCCCAATTCTTTGGGAGACTGAGGCAAGAGGATCACTTGAGGCCAGGAGATCAAGACCAGTCTAGGCAGCACAGTGAGGCATCCTCTCTATTTAAAACATTTTAAAGGAAAAAAAGGAACTGTAGGGTTAATGTAGGACCAGTCTGGAGGGGCATGATACCGACAGAGCATACGCCATGAACTCTCACCATGTGCTGGGGACAGGCCCCGTGACGCAAGAACTATTTCCTCTTCAACCTATTTTAAGGGAGATAAAACCGAGGCTCAGAGAAACTAAATGAGCTGGCCCAAGGTCACAAAGCTAGAAAGTGGGAGAGGGAGGATTCCAATCCAGATGGGCCTGAGGCCACCCTTCCTAACATGACATCTACAGACATCGTTCTATCAGGCTGAGACAGTGTCAGCCCAACCATACCTAAAAAAACAAGAACAGTACAACCAAACCAGATGCCAGGATGTCAAAGTCAGGATCCTTCCCTTAGAAACCAAGAACTCTGCCTTCTTGTGAAAAATCAGAAGACCTGGCCACGCTGAGCCCACGTTCCACATGGCAACGATCAGCTGGAGCTGAGTGACAGCTGACACTTTTGTTAACCCAGTCCCCAACACTCCCTATAGTCTCCCCAACATGGAATCCACAGCTACCCAGAGGAGCACGTTCTTCTTAT